TGCCGTGTTCGTGATGGGAAAGATAATGGCGTTTTGAAGGATATAATGACATTTTTCAAGGAGTAAGAGATAGTGAAGGTCGCGAAACACCAAAAATATGGAATGATTTTCGTATTCAAGAGTTTATTATGGTGAACTTGTAGTCCGTTCCTATTTACAGGTTTGTAGAAATAATGTATACTTTCACGTCCTCAGTTAATAGTCAGTGAATCGTTCTGTAGATCGTTTCAATAAGCACGATGAACAAACAAATTCTAGTACAGTAGCCCATACACAATCGTATTGCGTGGAACGCCAGATTCGGAGAGTATAAGATGACCACTAGGTAGCAGCGTGAATCACGCAAATTAAAAAAATTAAGCTTAGCCCCGAACGACACGCTGTAGGGAATAGATTAGCTTGCTCTACACTGTACATGACTGGCATGACAATAGGCTTTCGACACATCTCGTTAGAATATATACTAATTTCCAGAAAGCTAGCGCAGATTTACGTCACCGGCTTTCGTCATGCTTGAGTACAGCGCAAAACGCTTACAAACTCAATAGAACGGGCGAACATAGAAGGTTGAATCTTGCTTGATAGCCATACAACCAGCATACTAATTTACATTCGTCTTCCCATACTTGGACGTATAGCCTGATCCTAATTTACCGACAAGCATAAATTGAACTCAGCGAAAGGGAGGAATGGTCGCTACGCACAATTTTTACATACCCAGTTGAGGAATAGTCGACTGTACAAGCAGCGTCAGCCAGATCACGAGTTTGCATTGAATTTTCCCCCATGAACAACTCACAGCGAACGCGAGTTGATGAAAAGGAAACTTATGAGTTGTTCTGTGAATTATGACCACAAGCAATACAAACGAACCCATTTCAAGCAGTCCATACAATACAATGTTGCGAACGATTTTCTGAAACGTAGCGTCGTCGATTCCATCAAACACTGGATAAAACTCTCGATTTGGACAGTAAAAAAGAATCACTAGATACAAACCTGAAGCACAGAAGTGGACAAAGTTAGTAAGAAAGCAAAGCCATATATGACACTTGAACCGACTTACTGTACATCATTGGCGTGAGCACTTCCATAAGCTCGTTCAACAGCAAAAACTCCGTCAAAAATAAAATATGAAGTGCCGTTCGAAGCAGAATTTTTCTCTCTCGAGGTGAGATACGCTCCATTATCTCCAGATCATCAAGCATCGGTCCTACATGTTTTTGTTCCGCCGATTCCACCCCAGGCGTGCTAGGTAGAATCTCCAAATTAGCTTTAGCCAACGCGGGGGCTACTTGATTCGTGTTGGTCAGTTTCCTTCCAAGTTGTAGTACAGTTGCGTTAATTTTCTCGAGCGTCGACAAACGAAAGACGTTAGATTTCGATTTTGTTGCAGTGTCGGTCAACGAGGTATCTTTTGTTAGTTCTGGATATTTTGTCGATATCATGAAAGCACTAGCGATAATTTCTTTTGGTGTAATTCCCATTTTGTCAGTGATTTCTTTAACGCTTTTGATCATCAGGCTCAGATCACCAATTGAGATTAATAGTTGCACGAAGTCGATCAGGATCAGCATGGCACTGGTATTCGTAGATGCCGCTTGCTGCATTGACGTCGATATGAATAATGCGTTAGTGATTTCGACAGTGAAGACGACCAGCTCGGGTTTCAAATCGTCTTTACCACGAAGAAATCGACAAAATAAATTCCTTTCTGTGATTTTAAACGCAGGTACGAGAAGTGCTGTTAAAGTTTGCCATTCTTCAGGAACGCTCCTAAAAATTTCATTGAATCCAGTGATCACCACTCCAGAACTCGTATGCATCACTGATAAGATCGAAAAGCGACGCACTTCATGCCAGACCGCAGGATTTTTGCTCAACAAGTCACCCCTTGAAAGCTTCAATGACATTGCATAGGTCCCTAGCCACGGGCCACTCATCCAAAGCAGCGTGAATGGAAGTGGGTATCCGAACACCATTATTAAGCCGAGTACGGCGAGATGGCTGACAGCAGTCGCTGCAATCGTAGTAAAGAGCAAAATACGCCTAGAGATTTGAAGTTCTGGCACATACTGGGAAAACATCCATGACAACGTGAACGATTCCACTAATCCCACTGACAATCCACGCATCCACACAGTCCCGCTACCTGCCAAGCCGAGATCTGGCGAGTTCATGGGTATGGCATCAATGATTGCCACGCATAGCAAAGGGAGGAAGGGGATTGCAATTAGCACCACGAGTGCTCGTAAAATGCCAGTTGAGGCACGATACTTGAACATGGAATTAAATCGCTGAATTGAGTAGCTTCCATGCAGCTCCACTTGCAGCGACTCCCATTTCCGCACTAGCGCTCGTACTCCAGAACCAACTCGATCAAACATTGATGCCTCTTTGGCAGTCATGCTTTAACCGAGGAGACAGTTGAAAAAAATTAAGGCTTGAGAGTATTTCTGGAATCAAGCGCCAACGTGCTCTTTGAATCACGTCCGACAATGCTCTGGATTTGGATCATAGTTCTCTCTAAAATGGACGTATATTCTCTTACCAAATAGGAATTCTCGGTCCTACATTTCTAAAATAGAACGACGAGTGGATGTCCTTTGAAGAATGTGTTTCGTTTAACATGTGAACTGGTTTGAATCAACTCCTGAATAAAGTGCCACGAATCGTGCTTGTTGCTGCCGTTCTCCGTGGTCGTTGGTGCTCACATGACTCGAGAGAACCACTTCAACCTATTAAATGTTGCGCGAATGTAAAAAAATCCTTCGGATGTGCTATAAGACACACGCAACTGAAATAATTTGGTGTGTCAAACACAACTATCTGAAGGACGCTGTTCGTGACCACAGGAAGCTTGGACACTTTACGCACAATGAAGCACCGCGTCGCCTTCCGCAAGCTCAACCGCACGTCTGCTCATCGCGAGGCGATGCTGCGGTATGTTTCCCACCCCTTGTCCCTATCTTTTCACGTTTCTATTATCGTTTAGTACGCTTTAGATCGACAGTATCAGCTAATTGACTATAATGACACAGTACCATGGTGACGCAGCTCATCGAGCACGAGCGCATTCGCACGACGCTGCCCAAGGCGAAAGAGCTGCGTCGTGTGGCCGAAAAGGTGGTGACGATGGCCAAGCAGGGCGATGAACCTGCTCGCAAGCGTGCCCAGAGCATCCTGCGCACGCCCGAGGCAGTCACCAAACTCTTCGACGTCGTGGGTCCTCGCTACGCGTGCGTGCTGCTGATATTGGGCATGCATTCAAAATGTTACAGACTGATAACAGGGTGGTGTTGTTATGTGCAGGCTTCGCGAGGGCGGCTACACGCGCATCCTCAAGGCCGATTTCCGCAAGGGTGACGGCGCTGAGATGGCTGTTATTGAATACGTCGACCGGTATGGATAGCACGACTTGTAAGAGCCATGGAGCTCTTGACTGACGCTGTAATTGTTATTTGCTGTGTAGACCGGGTGAGATGCGCAAGGCGAAGCCGCCGACGGGCATTGAGGCAGCTCGCGCTGTTTTTGAAGCTCAAGCTGAGTCTACTCAGTAAGCTGCCAGGATGTGAGGAACGCTGACGCCGACATAAAGCAATGTATGCATTTGATCTTAGGCCTTGGATTTCCTACCATGTTGCCGTGCTGTCTGCTCCTGTTCTTGGTCGCGCTCGATCTCGTCTTCCGATTCAGGTGCAGCTCCTTCCAAGTGTGCAAGCCGGTCGTCCACTGTCACCATGAGACCTTTGACCTTCTCCATTTCATCTCGCAATCTCGCCACTTCGCTCCTATCCACTGCTAGTTTCTGCATCGCTTCATGACACACCACTGCTGCTTGTTTCATCCACTCATCTTCTCCACCTTCACCTTTTTGCATGGGGTCTCCCAGTGTGTAACTCGTGATAGCCTCGGTTGAAAAGCTAAACAAGTCTCTGATCCCGTCCAGCACCACTGGCGTCGTTAAATATTTGCGTCCGAGGACGGCCTGGCAGTTATGACACAGCAGCTCATAGTACGAACTACCTGCGTCTAGACCAGTATTGGCTGTTTGTACTTCAGGGGCTAGCGCCACGTTAGTTACATGACTCAACGTAACCAGCCAGAGCTGCTCCGTCGAGCACACGAAGGCGTAGGAATCTCCAAAGATGGAGCGACATGTGCTGCATTGGAAGACCACAAGAGGCATGGCACCTTCTTCTTCCTCCTCTGTGTCTTGACTTTGCATCTCTGTGAGGTGTTCTCCCTCGATTTCTTCCTCTTCTTCAATCTCTTCGGACTCGGGGTTTGTCACTTCATGTTGACGGATTCTGCTGTGGCTTCTGCTGACCGCTGAGAGTTTCGGCACTGTCTGTGGGGTAACGAGTGTCCGCGCTTTCTTGTGGGAAGGAGTTTGGGTCACTTCCACGTCCTCGGCGCGTCCTGTGTAGTGCCGTTTGCGAGGAGCTCCATTCATCGTCGTTGTTGGATTTGACAAGCTTAACTGTAAATTTATTTTGTAAAAAAAGAGATAAATTATACATGATTGGTCAACAGAATTGGCGCGAACGATTATGATTGGTTGACAATATTACAACAAACTGGTTGCAAGCTACATGAAGGCAGCGCGTTCACTGTTTGCCTGCGGCTTGCTGCTTGTTGTGGATCGATCGCCGCTGCTGTTTTAATAGTCCATGATTGCAGCAACATCTCGACGGCCGAGCTGGTGTATGGCCTGACATTTTTTTCTACTTGAATGCTTCCTTGATCCTCGGTACTTTGAGCTGTCTGTCGATGCTGATAATTTTTGCTTCATCCTCTTTTGAAATGTGCTTACATGTACATGCAACGCAGCAAGCAACATCTCATGGCTTAAAAGAACGTCTGAGTGCCATTGCCGTTGCCGTTGTTGCGGAAGGAAGCGTATTGCGGGTGCAAGTCGGCGAACCACGGGTGGGACATCGCAGCACGGGCAGAGATACGACTGGCCGGGTCGTACACAAGAAGACGCTACGTAACACACAATACAAGTGTTAATAGCTCACGCAGCAACATCAAACTAAGCACTTGGACGCACCGAGAGCAGGTCCAGACCCACGCGGTCCAGTTGTGGCACCACCTTGGACAGCGGCTGCGGGCGCCATTGTGGGAACGACGTCTTGTAGTCCGGTAGCGATGACACTCCAGGCCACATTTCCTCATTCGGCGTGCCAAGCACCCGGAAAATACGGAACAACTCGTCAATCTCCGAGTCTCCGGGGAAAAGTGGCTGCTTGTTGACCATCTCTGCAAAGATACACCCGATAGACCACGAGTCCACTGGCGTTGAGTAATGCTTGGCCCCAAGCAGCACTTCGGGAGCTCTGTACCACAATGTCACAACCTCATGGGTATAACGTCTCAAAGGCACGCCGTATTCTCTGGCAAGTCCGAAATCGCCCAGCTTGAGGTTGCCATACTGATCAATGAGCAAGTTCTGAGGCTTAAGATCACGATGTAAGACGCGGTTGGCGTGGCAGAAGGCGATCCCCGCCAATAACTGGTACAGATAGCTCTTGACCTGGAAAACCTCCATCCTGGCAGGGAGCTTCTCCAGACATCGCTTGAGATCCTGCTCCACAAACTCGAAAACAAGATAAAGCTTGTTCTTCTGGTACACAGCGTCGTACAGATACACGACGTTGGGGTGGGAGGACAGCTCCTTGAGCAGCGAGATCTCGCGCATGGCAGTGGATGGAATGCCCTCCTCATCCGGTTCCAGCCGGATCTTCTTCAGCGCTACAATGCGGCCCGTCGTCAGGTCTTTAGCCTTGTACACGATGCCATAGGTGCCCTCGCCCACCTTCTCCACCTTCTGATAGTTCTCCATTGCTGCGGTTAAACCAATTGAGATTCACCTGGAAGGAACTAACTGTTACTAATAGGGGCGCTACAGCGCGACGAACACCACGTTATGACAGTGTGAATGACGCGGATGGAGTGTTGGGACTGCAAGTAGCTGAAGATGCTGGTGAAATCAGGGACGTGCGCTGCGTCCTCGACCTGAACGCCTAAACCAAGAACAGTACACACTTTATACTGTAGTATTATAATATAATATTATAATACTACAGTATAAAGTGAGGTGTATATTATACACCTCACACTAACAGGTTCTGGGTGGCCCACATAATTGCGACCTCACCAGAAAGGGTTCTTAACCCCTTGGTGCTCTACTGTAAAACCTGTCCTAAATGATCACTGTAATACGTGATATCCTGATATACATGATAGGGAATTGAGTCCACCAACTCGGTTCCTAACAGTTACTATTGAGTGAAAGTTGATATTGCCCAAACCTGATATCCGATAGAAAATATCGACCGAAATCTTAATGTGCAAGTGGACGCCTTTCAAGAATAGAGTAAGCACTCGACATACCTGCAGCAGATATGGCAGGTTTTATCGAGCTCTATGTCAACTTATTTTTTTTTTTGCACTACCACAAAACGAGTAACTGGGATCACTCTGGCCGAAATAGAGTGTCCCATAGATATAGAATTATATGCTTAGGGACATTTCGGACGGGACTAGAACAACTCAGAATCTTTTTGGAATTGCGCCTTGAAGATCGCCATTTCCCTTTGGGTACTAAACCTAACCCCCCAAGATGCGCGAGGACGAGGACGACGGCGACGGCGACTTCTTGCTGCTCCTGTGCCACGCGTACTCGAAGCACGACGCGAGTGTGCGCAGGGCACGCCTAGAAGTGCATGAAGCCCTATTAGAGAATGTGTGGCGCACCGCAATGCGAACGCGCCACTACCTGACGTGCAGTTGCTTGGACGCTCCGTGTGACACAGCGTGGATGACGCTGTACAAAATACGGTCGCGATTTTAACTTTTTACATGTCACGAGTCTCACGAGGTAAGTTGCAAACGGCAACTATCCGACTTCTTATCTAGCTGTTAAGAACTACGCAGATCTGCGTTTCACAAGTTACTGCGTAGATTTGCGCAGTTCTACCACATTCCTTCACCTGGAAGAAGGGGTCGCCCCCCAAGGCTTCGCTACTACCACCAAGCTCTCGGCCTCATTCTCTGCTTCTACGTGGGGTCCATGGAAAATGGGACTCTCTGCATGCTCTTTGGCGTGCCCCCCAATACGTTGTCTCGAACGCTGCGCAGAGCTGAAGAGGCGTTGTCCAGTGCACTTAAAGACTTCGCTCCTGCCCGGATCTCCTGGCCATCGCCGACTCGACTGAGAGAGAGCTGGCGGACACGGTAAACGCGCGTGAACCTCTGCTGCACCACATGTTTAGGTTTATAGACGGCAAGAACTTCCGGGGAATTTGAAATTCTGAACTCTACAATGGTACACAGTAGCTAATTCGATGTTGAGGAACTGGCGATGATGTTGTCGGGCTGCGCGGCGGACGTACTAGTGGCGAAGTTGCTGGCTCCTCCAAATCATCAGCAACAGGACGAGCCTCTTCATCTTTTGGTTGTCGCGGAGGCAAATCCGCCAGGATAGAGCAAGTCCCAGTAGAGCTGTAGCCATCCTTCTCACCGGCAGCGACACCTCGGTACAGGTTCGGCGGTGTGTTCTCCTCTTTCTCCGTGGACGAATCGCCGATGCAACGCTCGCGCCAGTACGCGGCCGAATGAACCATGCTCTGTAAATACGAAATCCGTTAGCAAACATCCATCTCCAAGCTCCTTGAGCACGTACCTTTCGCTGCGGTGGTGGCGGCTTGCTGTCACTGGCCGATTTTCGAAAGTGACGGCTTCTTCAACTTGAGCGCAAAAATGAGATATGCCAGATATATGAAGAAAGAGTGATTGAAGGGCAGTTCAGAGCAATGATCAGCTTTTTCAATACAATTTTTAAGATCTCGCTATAAGATGGCTGCAGATATTAAATATAGGGGTAGGGTAGATTATTCAGACGATTTTTACGTTCCACGGATTTTATTCGATTCTTATGGCTGCCATATCTGCTGCAGGTATGTCGAGTGCTTACTCTATTTTTGAAAGGCGTCCAGTGGGGCTTATGAGCGTGAAATCGAAATAAAAATGCTGGTAATTGACGTCAGAGTAAGTGCTTCTTCTGTTTCAACTCGAAGCTGCTCCCGAACGTGCGACCGAAGAGTGCGAAGGTCCTTCATCAGCGTGTATTCCAAGTCGGGGTGATCCAATAGGTAAGCAGCACATTGCGGACGGCATCTACACGGTCTTTGGTGGTTATTTCCTGGACGATCTCTTCAGCAGTGTCAACATCCAGTGTGAGCTCTTCCCTGTCGTCACCATCGGTAGTCTCAAGAAACGCTTCGTCAATTGCCTCGCTTAGCAGCTCCTCGCGTGTAAATGATTCCATCTCTGTATCCATTTCAGTAGAATTGCAATCAAAATCATCAATGTCCATTGGATCGCGGATTCGAAGTAGCTACAAGCATTCTTGCAACTCACCACGCAGCATTGTGTCGATCTTTTTCTTCGAGCGGCGGGATGACAAAGGACCAAGTACTATACCAGTGTGTTTAAAGCAGCACACAGTTGATCAACCGCGTAAATATTACAACTTTGCTCCGATTCCTCCAGATCTAGTGCATGCTGTAGCTGACGGTGCCGGTACCGCCGTTTCGATGCCGATATAATACCAGCGTCTAAGGGCTGCCGCTTGGACGTAGTGTTGGGGGTAGGAAGTGGACGGTCACATTCTGCAGCTCCAAGTCCGTGGAATTATGCAACGAAGCATTATCCATGAGCAACACAACGTTGCGCTTCTGACGCTAAATTACCGTCAATCGTGATGCAGCGGGCCTGGCAATGTAGCACCCAGTTGGCAAGTGCAGTATCCAGCTCAGGAAAAGCGACATGGCGCGATCGTCTTGCTTGCAAGTCTTCTTCCTTGGCGTTCAAATACACGTCCTTTCGCGCAATAATGGCTGATATGGTTCCCTGGGCAGGCACTTTAATCATGGCAAATTCTTGTTTCGCTCTTGCAGCAAGCTGTCCATGTGTCAACGACGTCGTGTCTCTCTTCCAGGTACATATCCTCTTCTTTTGCTCCTAGGTGAGGTTGCCGACATGCTGCTTTTTGCGTTGCCTCGCAAACGACAAAACGAAACTAGTGAAAGAAAGCATCGCCCATGAAGCTGTTTTGGAGCTAATTATACTGTCAGATAGCTTTCCTATTTTGGTCATAAGCCTTGATGTCCTTTCCTATCTGATGCTCTTCGTATGCCTGATGGGCACCTTGTCCACGGGTGCTATCAGGTAGGAAAGTTTCACTGTATTCTGAAAAAGAAGACCATCCGTTTTGGAGCATATACGTCGGGTGGGGCTGTCTGTCTCAACGTTCACTTCCCCTTACTGCGAGGAGAAGTAATTCTAAGTGACGTTCAAAAATGGCGTGAAGCATTCGCACTCATGGCAGCAGTGTGTCACGTGGATTAGATCGGATGGCAGCATCTGATGTCAGCACATTGTAGAATGACGAACATGAGCTATAAGAAAGAGATGGAGTGTATGGCAAAGTTCTTAATTCAGTTGAACCTCCCAATTCAGCAGGCTCCAGACCTTGTCAATGTTCTCGTCCACACATGCGGGTTCCACCAACGAAACAACCCAAGCGCTGAATATTTGGGAGCGTTGGCAAGAATTGCAGCTTTTGTCCATGATCTTCAAAGAAAAGAGATGAAGTGGATATTCCTGTGCGCTTAGAGTTCTGTTGAGTTAGGTCGTAGAGATGAGAGGTAGGAGAAGGAAGAAGAGACGATGTTGTTTGTCATCTAAAGACGAAGTGAGGCTGATTAAGATTAAGACGTCATCTAGCTACATTAGTGGGCTGGTGTTCACTATAAGTATAGTGACAATAGGATGTAGCAAGTTAGAAAAGACCTATTAGAACTATATATAGTAGTTCTGAGAGGTTTTAATTGAGTGTAATCATCATGTTTGGAGGCACCTTCAACAAGAGTGTTGTCGGATTGGTGATAGTATTCAATCATTCAGGAAACTTGTGAACGTTGGTAGAGCGGATCGAGTCATTCCCGAAGAGTGCAAAACGCTATGAACAAAGCCAAAGACCTGGTGCCGTAACAACCAGAGCTCGGACAATAAAATATAAAACTGTATTGACGTTTTTGAAAAACATAATACGTTAATCCGTATCGCTAAAACCAATAATTTTCATTATTACACTATATTGTAAGGGTCAGAACGGTGTAGTGGGTTGGGAACGACCCTACCAATCCACTACCCACGGATTCGAGACCCACACCTATTACGAAGCTGGTGGATGTGACTAGGTCCTTTATGGTCCTAGCTCGGGTCTCTTGCCACTCAAAATTATAAGGTTGGCAAAGCCTGTTCCAAAGGCTTGCTTGCGGACGTTTCCGCACAGCTTGGAGGAGAACTGACAGACGGTGTAGAAGAAGTTGAAATGGCTCGAGAGGTGAACATGATG